TTCTTTTTGCAGTGTCAAGACCTTCATTAATCACATCTTAGACTTTGACCAAATAAATTCCTAAAAGTCCTGACATTAGAAGTTCTAGGTTTCATTCATTAAGACCATAGGATTGTTTTGCCTCTTAATTTCTGGTTGGATTTGAGATATCTTACGTGAGGGCATCTGGGTTTACTGATGGTTTGGAACACATGTGGTGTGGTATTTGGCAAGAGGCTAAAGGCCAAGTGTTGCAACCACCTACATAACAAACAATCTTTTGCTAATCATCAAGTGTTTTCTGTAATTTTAGTAATAAAAACAGATTTTTTTTCTCCTAAAGTATATTAAAATAAAAAAGTAATATGCTTTGAGATGGTAGGTGTAGTTGAAAATTAATGTTTTCTAATATAAAAATTAAAAACAAGCTCAGGAAATACCATCTGAGTCTAAATGTGCTCGTGAGGTTAGTAATCAGTGTGTAGTTCCTCTCTGTTCACAGTTGTCATTAGTTAAGACAAAGAAATCTTACATAGATTTGCATAAAATTATTCACCCTTCAAGTCTCTGCTACTATAAAAAGAATAGATGTTATTCATTTTTTAATATGTGCCTATCTTTTTTAAACTCCATAGCCACTAATCTCAATATCAAATGCTAGATTGTCCTGCTGCTCCCAGGAGATTCCCGCTGAAGAGAATCTAAAAGAAAAAGTAAAGAGTCTCTGTAATTTGGGGAGTTTTTGTAGCTAAGATAACCATTCCTTCCAGTTTGTGTGACATGTTCTTAATTTACACTAACATAATTATTAATAGTGCCCCCCTTTATTCTCAAAAACCCTAGTTTGGATGACATTATATGGTTACCCTCTTTATCTATAACCATGTTGACCACTGAACAGCTGAATCTGCTTTAAAATTTAGCATTTAGCCAGCCTTGGCATCCTGATCCTAATTCTCACAGGAGAGTTGGTGGATTGATGGCTGCAAGATAGTACAGTTGTGAAACTTAACTTGTACGTAGGTTCTTCTGATAGTAAGAACTTAGATTATGTTTGTTTCTACAGCTCAAAATCATCTATATCCCCAAGTGCTAAAAATGAACATTTTGTGCATGTTTAGGGACATCCTCAATCTCTCTCCATTCTTTTGTAGGCTTTTCTTTTCCTATTTTTCTCTCTCTTCTCGTAAACTTCATATTTCAGCCTCACTCATGAAGTTGGATTTTCCTGAATATATCTTATGTTTTTTCTAATTCCCATGCCTTTCTTATATTCTATTTTTTTTCCTGTTCTATATTTTCTAGTCTCCTTTTCCTATGTATGTCTGTTAAATTCCTACCCATCCTTTGAAGTCCAATGCGTATGTCACTTCCATGAAGCCTTTTTTGCCACACCCCCATTCCAATTAAATTCTCTTTTTTTCTGAGCTCCCTAAGCATTTTGTTCCTATCTCTTTTATGTCTTAACACACAGCTTGGTGTCGTAACTGTTTCCTCAGCTCTTTAATGGCAATAGACTGTATTTAATTCATTTAAAATCCACAATACCTATACAAAGCCTTTTATATGCTAGGTGTTCAGTAAAAATGTGTGGTCAATTGTTGGTGTATTCCTCTAATTTCTTTAGAACAACTAGGCCAGAAAATATTTTAAAAAGAAATTTTCTTTGTAAGTTTTGTAAGGGTAATTTTAATATGCCAATTTCTAAATTTGATACCTTTAGTTATCTTTATCTTATCTGCATTCTTTTTTTTCCCCACATTTTAAATGTTTAATAAATACATTTAAGGTCATAAATTTTTCTGAAGGAAAACCTTTCTTGACTAAACTTAAAGATCAGTTGTGCTGACCCAGATCAGAAAAGACCATTTGGCCAACCCCAAAAGTAGTGGTATTAATGCAATGGTCGTTGTTTAAGTTCCTAAATTTTGGAGTGGTTTGTTATGCAGCAAAAGCTAGCTAATACAGAAATTAGTTTCAAGAGGAGGATGTTGCCATAACAAAAACCTAAAACATGTGATGTTGGTTTTGGAATAGGGCAGTGACTAGAAAATCAGTAAGGAAATGGCTTGCAAAGGCTACAAAAATGGGGAGGAAAAAATCACTCCGCTACCGCTGGTTTGGAAAACGATGACTCATACTATGTAGAGACAGAACAGTTTTACCTGCATTTTTGTTAACATTTTTTTTTTTCAGATAGAAGTATATCCTCATTGACACTTTAGGGCCAAAGTTTCTGTTTTTCCTTCCAGTCCAAGGCAGTTTGCCGTGTTCCAAGAGCTTCTTAACGTTCTTTTCCCATTGTCATCTTATTTTCTCAGTTAATTCTTAAAAATGATGAGATGATCACTTGTCTGACTGCCTAAATTAGTTCTCTGAGTTAATCATTGCCTTCCATAAATTTCCCTTACTTTGGCCACCATATTTATTTCCAGGAAAGAGTCAGGATGAAAGTATTAAGTTCTCTTTACCAGTTGAGAAGAGTCTACCTTAAACATTAACATGCTTTATAAAACTTTTCCAATGGCAAAAAGGAAAAATTAGTAGGTGACATTACAATCCTGGCACTTTTTTCTTTCAAGTTAAGTCTCATTTCATTAGACTTTTGGAGTAGGGGAAGCCTGCAACTAGCTCTTTAGGTATGTTATCTTGGTTATTGCCAAAATTTGTATTCATAGCCTTTGAGGAAGAGACATCAAATTACTCCAGCCTCTGAAAATACATCTAGATTGGGCCAGGAGGCAGGTTATGTATGTTTGGGGTGGTGGGGAAAGGGTGGGATGATCCAACCAAGTGGCAAGCTAATTCTCAGTGTTCCCCTACTTATGGCCCTTAAGTCTATGGTGATGACTTAGGGTCACCTTGAATGGTGCCGCCATAGGCCTTCAACATGAGGGGAAAATAGTAGCATTTGATAATACAGAAAAATTCTCATCCTTAGATCAGAGTAACAAAGTTAATTGTGGTCTGAGAAGGAGCTTAAGGATTATGGGTTGAAGAACTGTCTTTTATGTTATGTTTTAAGGAGAGATAGATTTTCTAAGTAGGAGATTAGAAATGGATGCTTTGACAGATTGAGAAGAGACTTGGAAGGCTAGAAATTGTCTAGAAATGCTAGAATTAGGAGAGTACTCCTCTTGGCAACTTAAAAGATCAAATAGGAGAAATTGGTGAATATATAAATTATAGGTTAAATGTTTAGGAGATATTATTTGTGAAATGCTTGATAAATTTGAAATCAGCATTGGTAGAAATAAGGATTAGGAAGGAGTATGGTTTATGGAAGGAACATCAGTGTTGTTAACTATACATATATTCTTAAAAGATTTTTAAATATTTGCATTTGATTCAATGGCCTTTTAATTTGGGGGTTTTTTTCCTTTTCTATTAACAATTCATTAGAAAAAAGAATTCATTAGAAATTATCACAGTGGTGGTTTTAAAAAATAATACATGTGTGGTATGATTATAAATAGGTACTTCTAAAAAATCACTTACTTGGTAAAAAAATACATCCCTGGAGTTTTGTTGTTTTTGAGCTTGTTTGAAGTTGTGCTTTGGTAAAGTTAAAAGAACACTAGACTGAGAATCAAGAACTTAAAGTTTGGTTCTGAGGTCCTTGGAATTATTCTTTTCAGTTAAATGCATGACTTTAGGCACTCTGAATCTCTTGTTTCATATATTAAATGGATAAACAAGCTGTGATATTTCTGTACAAGGAGTTACTATGGAGCAATAGGAAGGAATGAGCTACAGATGCATGTGATGTCATGGATGAACATCAAAATCACTGTGCTGGGCAAAAGAATTCAGGCACAACGGATATGTACAGGGTGATTTCATTTTTATGAAGTGCTAGACAAAACTTATGAAAAATCAGAACAGGGATTGCCTCAGAGGAGGCGGGAATTGACTGAAAAGCAACACAAAGGAATTCTGGGAGTGATGGAAATAGGAAATGTTCCATGGCTTGATACACACAGTTGTCAAAGTTAATCAAGGCACAGTTAGTATTTGTGCATTTCACCAAATGAAAATTTTACCACTCTCCTTCCT